GGGAGGAGAGGGACAGGAGTCTGTGCTCTCTTCATCCAGTGTTCGTTTACAGACATCAACATGTTCACTCTAGTTGAAGGTGCTGATAAACTCATTATCAGGGACATCCTAGAATGTGAAAAGCTACCTGCATCTTTGGGCTGGCCCATTGCAGTAACTCTATTGATATCCTTCCTGTCTGTCACTTGTGGAGGACATTCTGCACCCCACTTAACTGATCAAGCGGGTTTTCTTTCTGTGGATGCCTATAACTTTGCACCCTTCCCCTCAGATCAAGAACAGATGAGGGGCAGCAAGATGGCTCAGCAGATGAGTGTGCCTGCGGTGATACACGAGGACCTCATTTCAGTCCCAGAAACCCACAGGGGACAGAAAGAACCGGTTCTCAAAAGCTGTCCTCTAACCTCCCTTTACCCCTACACACTGAATAAAAACAAACAAATGTAACAACAATAATAAAGAGCAGAAGACCGCACTGCAGGAATACACCCAGCTTGGAGATGCTCTGATTTCACAGTGACAGCCCTGAAGGCAGGGACAGAGCCTTCTGCCTGTGACCCCGCCGAGTTCCTTGTCCCCAGCCCTGCTTTTGAAACCAGCCACTTGCATCTGGCTTGCCCAGTGTGATTCCAAGTTCATTCGTGTGCCTCACCTGGGCCAAGCCTAACTTTCCCTGTCCCTCCACATCTGTCTACGCTCGATCTGGTCACTGGGTAACCTTCAAACACAGTGAGCCAGAGTAGGCTTTGTGTACTTGGTGTCCAGAAAGAAGCAAGCTCTGAGCCCAACCACCAGTCTCCCACACTCTGGTGAGTGGCTGGTTTACACGGTCCTTTCTGTTTTAGGGGAGGTGTCCTTGACATTGTTAGAGTACTTTTCTTTCCCAAGTGAGCCCGCTGAAGCCAAAACAAAAAGTCCCCAATCTAGTCATGGCTGCATTGTTTTCCTAGCTGTTCAAATCTGTGTCTCAAGAACACAAATCCTGGCGTGGGTCTGGGCACACTCCATCTTTTTGGCCTGAGTGTTGCCCTGACGCTAACACTTGAGGCAGCTAATTAAAACCAGACCTTGTTCAAATGTCAACAAAAGGGAAGCTTGTTTTTAGTTGCTGTTTCTTGAGCACCAGGAATAGAAGTGGGTGAGCAGTGGGGTGGTGAGCAGTGGGGTGGTGAGCAGTGGGGTGGTGAGCAGTGGGGTGGTGAGCAGTGGGGTGGTGAGCAGTGGGGTGGTGAGCAGTGGGGTGGGTGAGCAGTGGGGTGGTGAGCAGTGGAGTGGAGAGAGGCAAGTAGTGAACCTAAGAGTCAAAAATGCAGGAGGTGAAGATTAGATTCCTTTCCCTCCTCAGATGCACTCATTACTTGGTCCTGAGTGAACGGGAGGCATTTCTAATAAAGTATGCTAAGCATTAAAATAAGAGATAATTGGAAGTATTCCTAGCTCCAGCAAGGACTGATTTGTGTGTTATGAAGTCAAGCTGAATGCAATTTCTAATCCTTGCAATTGTCATTAAAACATAGGAAACTGAACACTAACAACAAAGCATTGCTGTTTAATTTCATTATAGTTTACTCTTTATAAAGGAAACAGGCGGCTTGTGTGGACAGAACGATGCTCCCGAATTATAACCAACTACTTCATAAAGTTAAAGGAAACAGAATATTAAGAATATATTTGCCAGCATGTCTTGGGCTTGATATTTATTGGTTATTTATCATTTATATTTTGAATTACAGGAGTTAAGAACACTTTTGGTTTTATGTAAGGAGATTGAGGTGCATATCTCCTGGCTAAGATAGGGTGGATGACAAGGATGGGCATTTCTTTCCACTTAAAATGTCATGACAATTAGAAAAAAACCTTATTTTTTAAATGCCATCAGTAACAGGGGTCATGCAGTAATGAAGAGCAGTGAGTACAGAGATGGGAACAGGCACCAGAGGCCTGTGGTCACCCAGTCATGAGAGCACATGAAAGATTAAATCCCATGAGAGAAAGAGATGAGAAATGGAGTATTAGGAAAGACTCTGTCATGCCTCCCACAGCAAACCAGCTAATCTTTAACACGAACAGGGGAGAAAGAAAAGAAGGAACAACTCAACAATATAAAAACAATCAACAAAAGGTCAAGGATCTACAAATCTCTCTAAATAACCCTAACTGTAAGGGTCTTAAGTCTCAGATAAAAAGCACAGAATTGCAGTGAGGAGGGATAAGACAAGGCCATCTATGCACTGTCTCCAGCAAGTACACCTCCCTGACAGATGCATTCACAGACTTCAAGTGAAAGGAGGAAGCCAATTCACCAAATAGACAGATGCTGAAAACAAGCCAGCACACCTGTTTTGATATCTCACAATGGAAACTTTAAGCTAAAATTAGCCAGAGCAGATAAGAAAAGCCAGCACATATTAACAAAAGGAACAATCAATCCATAAAGAAAATATAGCAATTGTAGGGGCTAGAGAGACACTCAATGGTTAAGAGCACTTACTGGTCTTGCAGAAAACTTGGTGTGGTTCCCAGAACCACATGGTGCCTCACAACCCTCTGTAATTCCAGATCCAGGGAACTGGATGCCCTCTTCTGGCCTCTGCATGTATGTGGTACACAGATGTACATGTAGGCAAAACACTCATACCCATATACATAAAGTAAAAATAAGCAAGTATTTAAAAAATGTGGCCATTATAACATATACCAATGAAATCTAGAGAATCATTAAGGATTACTTTGAAAACCAAAATAGAAAAAAAATCTCAAAGAAATGAGTAAATTCTTAGACATGTATTATCTACCAAAATTAAATTAAAAAGGAAATAAACATCTTTTTGTTTCTTTATTTTTTGTTTTAAAATCCCCATTACAGTTTCCCCTCCCTCCTCTCCTCCAAGCCTCTCTCCACCTCCTCTCTCTGCACCCCCCCCCATCCACTCCTCCTCCTCTGTTTCTCTTCAGAAAAGAGCCAGCCTCCCAAGGACATCGACCAGCCATGGTATATCAAGTTACAGTGTGACTAGACACCTCTCCTATTAAGTCTGGATGAGGCAACCAGGTGTGAAGAAAGGGTCCCAAAATCAGGCAACAGAGTCAGAGACAGCCCCTGCTTCCACTGTTAGGAGTCCCACAGAAGACCAAGCTACACAACTGTCACATATGTGCAGAGGTCAGTCCCAGGCAGGCTCCCCGGGAAATAAACATCTTAAACACATACAAAACAAGCAGTGAGGTTGAAGCAGGAAAAGAGACTCCCAAGAAAGGAAAGCCCTGGGTCAGGCCAGTCTGCTGCTAAATTCTGCCAGACATTAGAGAAGAGCCCCAACCGTCTTCCTGTCTCCCCGATCACAGGGCAAGGCTTACAAGGTGCAAGGCCACAGCCAGCTTTGGGTGCTGGGGACTTGAACTCAGATCCTTTTGCTTGCACAGCCAACACTCCTACCCAGTGAGCCATCCTGCCAGTCCTCAGTGAGCATTTTAAAGGAATTAGTGTATCTGATGGCTGTGAAAATGCCCTAGACACTTCCATGTTGTCTCCTACACAAAGACTGCTCGTTCTGAAGCACTGAGGTCTCTTCACTTCCTCTACACGTCTTCTCCCTCCTGGACAGGCTCTCCTGCCATGTCTGGGCTGTCTGTCACTCTGATGATTTGTCTGGTAAGCCGACAGGTGTCAGACATTGTTAGACAAGAATCCTGTAACTTTAAACATGAAGTGACAGAAGTCTTGCTTACTTAGCACTAGTGACTTTTCCTGTAGAGACAGGGGGAAGAACACTCATTGCTACAATGATTTTGGACTTTCTTATAAATTCTTGGAGAAAATAAATGTGTATTTCTTCCCTGGCCATGCACAGAGGATGTGGTTCGACCCATCATACTGCAATTTCTGCCTTGAGGAAATCAGAAAAATGCACGTCTGTCCAGCAGCTTTGTGAATCCAGCAGATTGTTGGGGACAGAGAAATGACAGTTGGTTAACTCATTTCTGCTCCAACTTTTCATAAAACCCCAAACATTCATTTTCCCTTTTAGTTCTTAGGTATTTAAATAAGCCAACACTGAGAATTTACTGAAGGGTCTTTCAACAATAGTAGATGCCCTGAAGCCCCAATGAGGCTTTCTTTGAATTGAACTTGTAAAAGTAAAGAGATTTTTTTCCAATTCCACAAAATAGAAAGTACCCTTAAGCCTTAGCTAATTAAATAATAACCTGTTCTGAAAATGTAAATAGCGTTGTCTCTTAAGTTGAGCTAATTTGAATCACAGAAGTGATGCAGAGATGTGTGTTGCGGGGCCTGAAGTCATGGAACCTCAGATGGGAAGGAAATCACCTCGGTGGCTTTACCACCACCCCAGTAGTGGGTAGAGATTTTCCTGTGTTTCTGTCTGCAGGTGGCATTCAGCCCAGGTGTTGGTAACAAACACCATAAAATGAGCAGACTATTGGCAGGTATTCACTGTCTTTGTTCCAGAGTTTCAGAAGTTCACAATCAAGCTGCTCAAGGATCTGGCTCCCCAGTGGGGGCTTTCTACACAGCTCACAGATGGTTCCCTTTCCGCTGGGTCCTCACATGCCTTATTTCTTCCTCTTGTAAGGACCCCACAGGCTCATTTGCCTGAACCCTCCGTCCCCAGCTGGTGATGCACTTTAGCAGGTTGTCGGATCTTAGGGGTTATGGCCTCCATAGCAGAAGCAGATGACTGGAGACAGGCTTATGGACTTCTGGTTCTGGGCTGAGCCCTCTGCTGACTGCCTCCTGATCTTCCAGAATGCAAAAAGCCACACCACAAGCCCCTGCTGCCAGGAATGGAACCCCCTACCTGCCAGTGCTTTGCTGCCATAATGAAGTAAATTATTTTGACTCTTAAACACGGAGTCAAAATAATCCCCTCCCCCATTTAGTTTCTCAGTTAAGCATTTGTCACAGAAATAGAGATGAGAATAATCAGAGTAAACACACATACTGTTATGGGGGGTTTCAGACTTCTTTTAAATATACTTACCCCTCCTGACACTATCATATTGGGGGCTGGGTCTCCAACGTACAAACTGCAAGAAGTGGAGGATAAATATTTAGTCTATGACATTCGACCCTTGGCACCACCAAATTCATATACTTGAATCTCAAATGCATTCCATCTATCCCAGCAGCTTCAAAAATCCTAGTTAGTTTCTGTGTCCACTCTTGGACACTTAAGAGAGTTTAAATTTTGGAATTCCATGTCTCACCTAAATTAGATGTTGGTGAGACTCTAGGCATAGTTCATTCCTATGGCAAAATCCCTTTCTAGCTAATAAACTCAAAATCAGATGATTTCATGTTTCTGGTGCATATAGTGGGTGAGCCATCAGATAGACACTCCCAATTAGAAGGTAGAAACAGAAAAGAAGGAAGGTGTTAACTGGTCCAAACCAAGTCCATTTCCATCCGGCCATTCATTAGAAATTCCCATTGGCTTCATGTTCTATCTTCTAGTATTACTGGGATGGTGTCCCTGTCTCTTTAGCCCTGCCATGAGGGCTCCCTAAGGCTTTAGGCAGTGGGCACTTCTAAGTTTCTGAGAGACATCTGTTTGGGTGATAAAACTGGGGTGACCATTGAACCCAAGAAAACCCACTGTAATAGCCTCTAACTGCCTCCAAGGCCATTTGTCTCTTGTCCTGACGAACAGTGCATATTTGAGGTTGGAGAGATGACTCAGTAGTCACAAACACTTGCTGCTCTTGAAGAGGACCTGGGTTCCATTCCCAGCACTGTAGTGGGTAGTCGGTCCAGCTTTGACCTGGAAATACCACCCCCTGTGAGGCTTTGGTAACTGTCACGCCTACAAGGTGGAGCCAAGAGAGGACCCCTGAAGACTCGGGATACAGATGGGGGAGCTCTCTTAGTTCCTGGACCCTGGACGCTGGAGGTGGACCAGGAGTTCTCCAGAGAACACTGCTGGACTGCGCTACACCTTTCCCAGACCCTGTAACCTATGCCTTCACTTGTGAGTTACCCCACAAAATAAACCTCCCTTTTAACTGTGCAGAGTTGCCATAATATTTTAACCAATACTGCACCCATATGGCAATTCACAACTGTCTATAACTGCAGTTTACAGGATACCTGACACAGAAAATGTGTGCTGAGACACTAATGTCTGTGATAGCAACAATAAAGAAACCCTTTGAACTGGTTTACAGAAAGAATTTGGAGAATAGGCTGGGGGATAGCTCAGCCACTAATGAGCTTGTTTCACAGGCATGAGGATCTGAGTTCAGTTCTTGGAATATTTAAAAATGTCTGTAGTGGTGGCGAGCACTTACAATCCCAATGCTGGGATGATGGAAAGAGGCAACCCCTGGGCTCATTGGTGAGTGGTGATCAAACATGAGGAATCCATTCTGGGAACTCAAAGCAGCTGAACTTTGGAATCAAGCTTCAGCATACGCAGGAGATATCTCAGTCTCCATTCTTCCAAAGATGGGGTAATGCTGATATTCCAAAGAGGTCTCAGAACGGATACTCATTTTGACCCTCACACTACTGAGATAGGGTCTTCTCTTCTGCATGTGGCTCCCTATATGTGCAGCCATCTGCCACTTTCCCTTCCCTTTCCTTTCTTTTTGAGACATTTCCTAGTTTAAAGGCGAGAGCGCACGCACACGGCTTCTCAGTCTCACCACTCACAGCTGCTCTTGCTGTCAACTGTGCCCAGCCCCTCCACCCTCGGGCAGAGGAGGTGCACCGTGGCCTGTGGCTCACTCAGTGCAGCCAGTATTGGCCTGTTCACTGGGTACCAGGCTCTGTGCGGGGGAGAGGGATGCAAAGGTGAGTGAGAGGCTATGCCTGGCCAAATACCAGGAGGAATCTGGTAACTGTAACGAGGCAATGCTGTAACAGAGATTTAGAAGGATCTCATGGTATAGATAAAGATGGCTTTCCAGCCGGGCGTGGTGGCTCACACTTTTAATCCCAGCACTGGGGAGGCAGCGGCAGGCAGATCTCTGTGAGTTCAAGGCCAGCCTAGTGTACAGAGCGAGTTCCAGGACAGCCAGGGCTACAAAGAGAAATTCTGTCTCCACCCCCCACACCCCCACACACAAGATGGCTTTCCATGCTGACATTCCTGTGTATGCTTGCCCATGTGGCTGAAGCCTCTGTGTGTATGCATTTCAGTGTGCAGCAGGATGAGAATCCTGGAGGAAAGTCCATAAATACATCCTTCCATAGAACTAGGGGTTAGGTCTTTTTGGACGATCACTTGTTCATGTAATTTAAGTTCTCTAGATTGTTCTGGGCATTTAGCACAAAGGACTGCACTCTTGTTCCCAGTGTATCACATGCTACAATTTAGGGAAAATGGGAAACATCTCAAACAAAGACCTGGGCAGAGGCAGGGCTGATCTGGGAGAGCAGGGAAGGGAGAGGCAATCCAGCCGAGGGAGGCTGCATTGTGCACAGTCTGCGCAGTGCGGGAGGGGAAGCAAGCCTGTCATTTCCCCCTTCCTTCCTTTCTTTTCTTTTTTTAAGTTTGGAGAAGGAAGCAGGCACTATTTCTCAGCTCATGAGCTTTGCTATGGTTCGAGCTTGCCCTCAGAAGGTTGATGGTGTGGGTGGATGGCATTGTTCCATTTAAAGTAGGGCAGCAGTTGGTGAGTGGTTAATTTAAGAGTCATTGGTCTGACAGAACAACCCATGCGTCCTCTCCCATCTGCGTGGGGGAGACAAGCCAGTGCTGTACTTACCGCTTGGACTGAGCCCACGGAGCCGATCTTTAGCAGCCCTGTTTGCAGAGGAAGACACAGCGTTGAAGCAGCTTAGCCAGGGTTAAAGTAGCGTCAAACTCCGGGTTTGGGTTTAGCTTGGGCTGTGCACTTGCCAACCTAAGTTTACATGGGCTTGATTTTCTTCATAATTACAACTTTCAACACAAAGAGAAGAGATTCAGCAGCGTCTAGCTGGGGGAAGAGAGAGTCCTGATGTACCCACTGTTGGTATTGGAATTGAGTCCCAGGGAGCTCATAGTGAGTCCAGGTTCCAAAACAAAGACTAGAACAGAAACACACGAAACAGACAGCTTCTTAAGTGGGGGTGGTAGGTTTCCAAGGAGGGAAGTGGGCCAGAGCTGTGAGAAATGTCAGAAGATCAATGGCAAACACTATACAAATAACTAGGGCTTTTATACCCCAGTATCCCCAGATTTTGGCTCATTTTCACAGTGCATACTAGTTTTAGGACATGCTCTGTTATATGTCAGCTTTGGTGGGGAGAGGTTTCCTGTCTGGTTTCTTTTATAAACTGATTTTAATTCATTCTCTGTCATACCATATGGTTTGTGACTGAGACCACATATCACTGGGAATCCCCTTCATGGAGCATTTTTTCATGACAGGACATCAGTGTCAGTGGTATCATCCTCATCAACCCACACCTGACACAGAAGACTCCATGGTGAAGTCCCTTCATGATTCTAGCCAGTTGCCATAGTGATCTTCTCAAAGGTTCTCCTTGGGCTGAGACAGACCATGTGGAAAGACTCTTAATTGGCCTGTGTTTTAGTTTTCTTTGCTATTGCTGTGATACAATACTCTGACAGGATCACCTCAGGGGAAAGGGTTTGTGTGGGCTCACAGGTCAAGGTTACAGTCCATAATCATGGGAAGTCACACAGGTGGGGAGCAGTTGGTCACATCATATCCACAATCAGGAGGCAAATGGAGATGAAGAGTCCAGTATCCCAGCCAGGCAATGATGCTGCCCACAGTGGGCGAGTCTTTCTACCTCAATTAATGCAGTCAAGATAGTCTCCCACAGGCATGATAAGAGGCCCAGGTCTGTTAGGTCTAGATTCTGCCCAGTAGACAAGCAATACTAACCATCACACCCTGGCATGATCATTAACTTGGAGTTCTTCAAGCAGGCTTATGGACTGTTTCTGAGACATTTCCAAAGCCATAAAATGTGTTCCTCAAGTATTAACTGAAATTGTTCTTCTGTGGTCCCTGTTCTCTTCTGCTGCCTACGCTGAGAAACACCCAGTGGAGCCTCTAGACACCACCACAGGGGAAGGTGAGCTAGCAGCAGGAGGAGAAGAAGAGGGTTTCCCCTTCAGCTTCCAAGTTTTGGGGAATATAATAAATAATGTAAAAAATCCTCTTGCATCGTGTATGCAATCAAGATCTGGCAGAACACAGATGGCAGGGGAACAAAGCTTCCATTTACTTCTTTCCTCTAGAAAACCATCCTGTTTTCCCCTGGTTGTAAAGCAGTAGGTGAGAGAATATGGTCATAGTCTACTCCAAGCATGTATGAGCTGCCATGGCCCACTGCCTTTAATGACTTGTGTATGTGTAGGAGCATCTGCCAGTCACCAGTGCCACTGAACACATCACGAGTGCCTCATGTGATAGTACCCGTGTGAAAGGTGGCAGAGGCACATGCCTGGGGAAGTGGAGACAGGCTGCCCTGGGGCTCAGTGGCCAGCCAGAAAGCCAAACTGGTGAGTTACAGATTCAGTGAGAAACCTTGTCTGAAGAAATAAGGCACAGGACTCAGCAGTTAAGAGTACTGGCAGTCTTGCCCTGGATCCAGGTTCAGTTCTCAGCTCCAAATCACAGTTCCACCTCCAGTAACTCCATCTCTAGAGGATCTGATGCCCTCTTCTGAACTCTTCAGGCATTGCACTCATGTCATGTGCACCTACTGCTGCCCCTTCTCATAATTAAAAAGAAATAAATCTTAATTAATTAAAAAGAAAATAAATCTTCACACACACACACACATATATGGTGGAGAATGTCTGAGGATTGAAATTGACTTACAATTTTCAAATACAGGTTCCTGCACACACACACACACACTCATACACATGAACACACTTGCACACTCACACGCACATATTCACACATGCACGTATACACGGACGCACACAGAGTTCATTAATCCTTGCTCCTACTTTTCATGTACCTGTCTCAGTATGAAGCTTCCATAGCTGTTTTTTCAGGAGCTTCATCTCTCTGTCTGTCAGAACCAGCTGACATCACTTTGCCAAGACATGGGTTCTTGTTGTTTTTGCAGGACCCACAGAACTCTGCTGTGGAAGTTAGCTTCCTGGCACCAGCGCTCCAGCGTTTTATGTGCTTAAAATTCCATCTGTGCAAGTCCAGACATGACCCAAGTGCTTGTCAAGTCTAGTTCATCTCAGCCCTCCCAGGGCCCAGGCTTGCAAGCAGGAAGGCTTCCTCACTCTCACACACCCATCCTGCTGAGTCAACAGCTCTCTCTGTCCCAGATCATGCAGCCTGGGATTGTTGACAAACTTGGGCAATTTCATTTGCTCTGCCCAGTACATACTGTGAGCCTGCCAGGAGTCCTGCTGGCTCCCAGATAAAGACAAGATTCCAGGAAAGGTTGAGCTGTGCTTGCCAAACCTGGCCTGAGTTTCTGGCCACACATACAACCCAAGGATGACAGCCAAGCTGGTGACTTTCTAGAACTTCTGGAACCCAGAGCTTCTGGAAGATCCACAAGCTTCTCTTGTTACAAGCTGAGATCCCAGGATTCAAAGCACCTGGGTAATCATGGGAGCAGATGCACAATGTCCTCCGACGACACCCCCATTCTGCTGGTGCTGTGGGGACTGAGTCAGTCGACACCTCTCAGTTCTCAGTTTTTCCTGGGCCGGCCTAGGCTGCAAGGAGCACACCCTGCATTGCACAGGACAGTGTGCTCCTTAGCTTGCTGTCATTACCATGAAATACTGATAATGTTCAAAGAGAAAATGTCCATTTACCTTGCAGTTTGGAGGACAGAACTTTATGGCTTGCTCTTGGGCTGCCTCGCCTCATGGTAAATAGGCACCGTGGCTACAATCAACAAGTGATTATGCTTCAAACAAGAAGCAGAGAGTGGTGGCGTAGGGCCAAACTCAAGTTTTTAAAACAGTCCTCACTCAAGAACTACTTCCTGAGGGCATGACCCTAGAAGCCTGAGGAGCTCCTCTCACCCACACTTCAAAGGTTTCCAAGATTTCTGAATAGCACCACCCTGCACAATAACCTTTCAGTCACAATGAGCACACCAATTAAACTGCATCAACACCTTATGACACCTACAAAAATGCTGCTCTGAACTAATGATTGCTTTGAATGCCACTGAGAAGCAGCAGATGAAGAAAGTCCCTGAGAGCCCCACTTTATCTAAAAGCAGCACATAAATCTGTGAAAGTGCCCCCTTCTCTCCAAAGGAAGGGTTTGTCAGTTACTAGAGAGCACTCGTCCTCTGTCTGCTCATAGGCAGCTCCATCTGGGCTACCCAGACTACAGGGAATGGACAGGGCCTGCTCCAGCTTTAAGTCAGGGGCAGAGGTAAGGAGAAGGCATTCTGGGTGGTATGCTGGGAGCAGGCAACTGTGAGAATTCTAGAAGGGGCCGTGAATGAGCAGAGGATAAAAGGTAGGTAGTGCAGTGACAGGCAAGAAGCTGAGAACCTGAGCTAAGTCAAGTGGCTCAAAGCTCGTGGTGGCCAGTCATGCCCTCAGCATAGTCTTCATGACCTTTGACTGGTTTCTGCCTTCACACCTGTTTTCTAACAGGATTGGGCTCCTTCATCCTGATCTCTGCACTCACAGATTCAGCCAAGCATGGGTGTGAAAACGGTATATATCTGTGCTTTAAACATGTACAGATTTTTGGCCCCTCCAGGGGTCATGTGTGTGGTTTGAGTACTTGTGTGTGTGGAGACGTGTGGGTAAGTAAGTGTGGAGGCCAAAAGTAGATGTGGGACTATGGTGATATTTTAATTGTACTGAAATGTGATTTTATTTGTATGTTAATAATAAAGTTGCCTGGGGGTCAGAGCTAATAGTAAGCCATAGCAGAAACTGGGTGGTGGTGGTGGTGGTGGTGGTGGTGGTGGTGGTGGTGGTGGTGGTGTTAGTGCATGCCTTTAATCCCAGCTCTTGGGAGGCAGAGCTAGGCGTATCTCTGTGTGTTCAAGGACACAGCCAGCATGGAGACACACGCCTTTAATCTCAATACCAACCATAGAAGACCTGGAGGTCTGTACAGACAGGCAGTGACGAGGAGGTCTTACAACCAATGAGAAGGCAGAATAGAAAGTCTATAAAAAAGACAAACAGACAGGAAGTAGGCCGCTTGCTGAAGAGGACAACAGCAGCAGTGAAGGGTAAGGCTTTTAGCTCTGACCTCTTGGGCTTTCATCTCTGCATTGGCTCTGTGTTTCTCATTTAACAAGACCGTTCATCTACATGGGACATCCTCCTCCCTCACACTCCACTGTACTTTCTGAGACAGGTTTCTCACTGAATCTGGAGCTTGCTGATTTGTCCCGGTTGGGTGGCCACTGAGCTCCAGGATGCTTCCTGCCCTTGCAGCCCTACACCAGCACTGGGGCTGTAGACTTGTACCTGCCCTGGCATCGCTGCTGGGGATCCAAGCTCAAGTTCTTGTGTTTTTGAGGCAAGCACTATAGCAATTCAGCCATCTTTCTAAGTCCTGTCATTATGTCCTAAACCTGCATAATGATTCACACGCACACTGTGTGAAGTGTTCTAAGTCACCTGGAAATGGTTTGCAGGGCTTAGGAAAGGAAAAGCTTTAAAGCAGCATTGCACACAAGGGATGAGTGCACCTTCGGGTTTTGGTACCATCCTGGGTCTCAGAACCAAGTCCTTGGAGACAGGGGGGCAACTGTCCTCTCATTCCTGTCCCTTGCTTGAGACCTTCTCAGAGTGTTTGCTGTGGCCACTCTCCTGTGCTTCTGTCCTTGTGTGTCCTCTCCTGGGGAGTTTGGAAGCACCCCAAGTCCAGCCTCTCCTTTCACTTGCACCTTGGCTGCCGTGAGAGTACACTTGATATGACACCACATAAACTTACCTTTTCTTTGAATGAGCTCTGACCACTGCTGCTTCTGAGACTGGAAGCCTTGGGTCATCTTTGAGTTTTCCCTTTTCTTTTTCTCGGATGTTTTCTTCCGGGAGAGTAGCAAGCACTCTTAACAGTCGAGTCACCTTCCTAGCTCCTTTAATTAGTTTTCACTCTTTTTCAATGTTTGTTCCAGACATATAACCAGCCTGTCAGCAAACCCCAAGTTGGGTATAAACCTACCATGTCTCAAGTTACCCATCTCCAACACAGTTCCTTTCTACCCCCTCATCCTTAAGCCTCATGAGATTTACCAGAGGTCTGTGTTCCCTATAAAATTAGTTTGTGTGGCTGGGGAGTGAGAATGGGAAGTCCCTACAAGGCATGCCATCACCAGAGTCTAGTCCATAGATGAGCCCTGTGACATAACCATCCTCAATGCAGAGGCTTAACATGGTATCTACTGATGCTCATGCAGACTCCAACCAAGGTAGGGCGGCCTCCTGTAGTGGCTACACCACTGGAAGCAGGTGGTCTTCAGTATATTAGGACTAGGGAAGAAAACCAAAGGGACTTCTCAGGGACAAGTTTCTAAACTGAGCATTAGAGGAGGGTGGGTGGGCGTGCTTGGAAGTCCCCAGAGAGAGAAGGCTCTATAGAAGACTGTCAACAGGACCCACCGAGAGGTCCCACGAGGGTTCTGCTGCACAGGCCCTCACCCCTAGCATCAACTTTAAGCCTGAAACATGGTTTTTAGAGAAGAGGGCTGGACACGAGTTCTTCTTGAGCAACTGCTGGGGACAAATTTAAGAAAAGAAACCTTTTCAAGAGTTCCCTAAAGGAAGACATAATGGAACTAAACAAAGAAGGCTTAAGGAATGTGGACCAGGCTTGACAACACAATAACAACTCTCCCTGACACACACCTTCATACACACTCACAGGCACGCCTGAAGAACAAATTATAGAATTAATTTTGCATTCATAGCTGGCTGTTAGAAATAATGATGGTTGCAAATGCTGATGCTGAAAGGAAGTTGCTTACAGAGAATACAGGGAGATACAGAAATTGCCTGATTGGTGGTAACTCTTGTCTGTCTTATTTGAATGTGGTTTTGATTGGCCAAGGCTCATCGCACTAGTAGGTTACAAACTGATACAAATAAACTTCAGTTACAATTTGTCAGGTGTGAAGGAAGTTTTAGGCCAAACAAAATATGCAGGGAGGCAGCTTCAGATCAAAGTTAGTGCAACTAAACTTGCACAAATCACTATTTTTTCCACTTTGTCGGTGAAAACAATTGCTAGATGTCCCACCCCTGCAGTCTAGGAGGGGACAGAAGAGTGCATGCATTCTGTAACTAAATTTTGCAGCTTCTTTCCAGCAGTGAGCACTTGGACTGGTTATGGCATCTGCTGTGAGAAGCAGGGGAAGAATCTTCCTGTCTCCAACGAGATGAGTTAAATTGGGCAACAGAAGTTCTTAACTATATTGTCGTAAAATCATTGAAACAAATTCTTCATGTAGGCCAGGCTGGCCTCACACAGCATGTAGCTGGGGATGCTCTGAATCTATATTGCTTGGTTTTTTGTCAAATTAACACAAAGCTAGACATAATCAGGAAGAAAGAATTCAACTGAGCATTGCCATCATCAAATTGGCCTGTGGATATGTCTGTGGGAAGTTGTTTTGATTGTTGATTGATATGGGAAGGCTCAGCCCACTGTGGGTGTTGCTATGCCAGGGCTGGTGGCCGTGGTCATAGGTTGTAAAATAAAGCAGGTCCAGCAACCCATAGGGAACAAGTCAGTAAGCATCATCCCTTTATGGCCTCTGCATCAGTTCCTGCCCTGATTTCTGTGGATGATGAAGCTGTACAATGAAATATGACCTTTCTCCCCCAAGTTGCTTTTGGTCAGTGTTCTATGACACCCACAGAGATGCAAACTAGGACAAACTTACTGTTTATTATTATTTAAATTTTTTCTGTTTAGATTATTTTATTTTATGTGCATGAATGTTTTGCATTCATGTATGTCTGTGCATCAGTGCATACACAGTGCCTGAGGAGGCCAGAAGAGGGTGTTGAAACAGGAGTTATGGATGACTGTGGCTGTGAACTATCACGTGGGTGATGGGAACTGAACCTGGGTTCTCTGTAAGAACAAGTGCTCTTAACCTCTCTCCAGTGTGGGACATTTACCCACCACCCCCACAGTTCCCCAGAGTTTTCTTGAGTGCGAGCAGCAGGAAATATTAGATAGAAGGATTTATTGCGGAGAATATTGCGGCAATAAACAGATAGAAAATAAAGGATAGCCTCGAGAGGGCCTAGAACCTATCCAACGGG